AGGCACGCATTCTACTTCCATTTGTACATTCGTAGTGGCGTTTGAATGCGATGTGGCCTATACAATGACTTGCGGGGGCCAGCCGATGTACAAGTCAGTGTTTTTATCCTCCCAGACAAGTCTGGTACCAATTAACCGACCCCGGAGGGATGGAAGGCTTGGTTGGCCCGGGCGACTCACGACCCAGGATTTGATCCCCGGACCGCTCGCGTGGTAAGCGTGCCACTTGCCACTACACCACTTCCGCCCCCGGATTAGAACAGTTATGGAAAATGTGTTCATGGGAAATAAAACCCGCTACCAGTAGAATGGGATTTCTTCATCGCCACTTATTTTTTGCAGAACAGACTGTAGAAACTTCTTTTTGTATTTTATTATTGCGCTTTTTCGCTGTTTAAATTATCATCTGAAACCAAAACTTCTGAGAAACGATTTTCGGTGCTTGTCCGGGGGCGGTGTTCAATCCTTCCCCCAGGGGGAGATATATCCCCCTACTCTGATTCAATCCTCTGGGGGGACAAAAAAGCAGCGCTACCCTCCACTGATGAAGCACTCTTTTCCCTGAGGGGTCGCGCTGCTCTAACTGTCTGGCAGGTAGAAACACAGAGGTATGCTAGGTCCTATGACGCAACCCTTTTTTGTCCCCCAGAGGATTGAATCAGAGGAGGGGGATATATCCCCCTGGGGGAAGGATTGAATACCGCCCCTGAACAGTGACAGTCGGAGTTTTTTAAGAATTGTAGTCGATGTAATTCGTAACGGAACGACTGAACCAAACTTCTCTGAATTACCCTACCGAACGCTATCTATAGTCGGTACCCTCGGCTAAAACAACACCACAAACAATTTCTTCGATCATACACAACGCGAATAGAATGCTGAAATCATTTGTCGCCTATTCAACGGATATTTCAAAAAAAGATGTTGAGCTGGTGTCAGATTCTGCGATCTGTAGCAGGCGCAGACCGCGAAAATTGCATGTGCCCCATTAAAATATTTGAAAAAGTACATGTAATATGAAACAAGTGGAATCATGAGCAGTCGTCATTCAGCCATCACTATCAAGCAGAAGTGGCGGCAGGATTGGAGAACACCTTGCAGTATTGATCGGGCACTTGTGATTTCCGTGACCCGTCGCGTGAATCGCGCAAATCGCGAAAATCAGCGAAACCTGCGACGGATCGCGGACTCTGACACCAGCCTTACTGATTTTTTTTTTGGGAATTCGTCCGTACTTCTGCATACTGCATGCAATGT